AAATTGATGGGGCAAAGCAGACTGGGCCGTATCTACTAACTAGGGATGGTCGCCAGGTCGAAGTGGCCATTTGCAACGGTTAATCGGGACGTGTTTTTGAACGCTGATTTCAAATCTGCCTTCAAAATTTGCAGAACGATTCTCTGAACGGAATTATGAAGGTTTGTTCGACTGAAGGGACAGGGAGTCGAGCGCGGTTGCCAGCCAATTTGCACTAATAGCCGTCTAAGCGCATTCGTGTTCAACGGAGGGCACCTTTTGCATTTTGTGGGAATGTCTCTTTTGAGTCTAGAAAACACTCAAACGCCAAATGGGTGTCATATTCGTGTTCAGGGAGCAAAACTACCCTGGGGACAGGTTTCTAGCCAGATGTGAGGTTTTGACCTAACTTTGAAAAAGTGCGGCAGCCTATGATGATGGCCACCAGTAGTTCTAGGGCCAGTCTCTTATCGATTGCTTATCTTCGGACGGGAATTGCTTTTAGATATCAGGAAAACTGGAGCAGTAACAAAATGAAAGCGTCAGAAATGGCAAGATGACGCTTTGCGTAGTAGAATGAATCTGTAGTTGCATACCTGTAGACATGAATCGATAAATTTCCTAGAGGTCCTACACTTTTCGAATTCAGGTCAAAATGCCAGATTTGGCTAGCAACTTGTGTATAAAGGTATTTTGACCCGCTGAACACGAATATGGCACTCGCTGAGCGTGAAAACGCCTGTATCGCGCACGACGGGCACCTGTACACCCCAATATTTTCCTGCACTACAAGGCTTCTACAAGGAGCCCGAGCGCAATTAAATGGATGCAAACGTTCCTACAGGCAAATTTAGGTGCGCGTAGTAGTGACGGCAAAACCACTTTTGCCATATTCGTGCAAGAGGCAAAAAAGTTAAACTTAGCAGGGATCCGATCTCATGACCTGTTGCGTGATAGACGCGGAGGAAAAAGCTCCATAACTCCGTTCAGAGAATCGTTCTGCAAATTTCAAAGGCAGATTCGAGATCAGCGTCCAAAACACGTCTAGTGAGCTACATCTCATTACGGAGGGCCACTCGACCTGGCGACCTTCCTTCGTCAGACGGGATGTTCTCAATTGAGCAGAACTTGAAAGGTTCATGTTGAGAGCAGATTAACACAGTACGCATTGCTGCCACCGATTTTGGTGAACTGCTTATCTGAAAAGCCCATATATGGATGTAAAGGGGCATTAGAATGAAAGATAAATTTAGTCCAAGTCTAGGAGAAGCGGAAGGAATCTGCCACAGTCGAAGTTTGTTCACTCTCATTTCGTTGGGTCTCGTCCTCACTTTACCTAGAGTAGGGATCACTATTCGTTGAGGTTCTGCGGAACCATATAGGTCACTGACAAGACCACATCCCTCAGGAATTTTGCAGTGTCAAATTCGGTACGTACATCTAGATTTTTATGGAAGGCCTCGTCATCTCATGAAGGCAAGGAACTTATTTTCTTCAATTTGTCAGGTCAAATGGTGCGCATTACATGTCTTTCCTTCCCTCATTTTTTAGATGTTAACTATTCTTCGAATACTAACATGTGGAACAACTTTTTCGAGCTTAATGAGTTATGAATACTTAACAACATTAGTAACTATCAGCCTCGTTAGAAGTCGTTGTTCAACGCTGTTTGCTGAAACTTATACAC